AATTCCGGATAAACCGAATTCCGGATAAACCGAATTCCGGATAAACCGAATTCCGGATAAACCGAATTCCGGATAAACCGAATTCCGGATAAACCGAATTCCGGATAAACCGAATTCCGGATAATCCGAATTCCGGATAATCCGAATTCCGGATAATCCGAATTCCGGATAATCCGAATTCCGGATAATCCGAATTCCGGATAATCCGAATTCCGGATAATCCGAATTCCGGATAATCCGAATTCCGGATAATCCGAATTCCGGATAATCCGAATTCCGGATAATCCGAATTCCGGATAATCCGAATTCCGGATAATCCGAATTCCGGATAATCCGAATTCCGGATAAACCGAATTCCGGATAAACCGAATTCCGGATAAACCGAATTCCGGATAAACCGAATTCCGGATAATCCGAATTCCGGATAATCCGAATTCCGGATAATCCGAATTCCGGATAATCCGAATTCCGGATAATCCGAATTCCGGATAATCCGAATTCCGGATAATCCGAATTCCGGATAATCCGAATTCCGGATAATCCGAATTCCGGATAATCCGAATTCCGGATAATCCGAATTCCGGATAATCCGAATTCCGGATAATCCGAATTCCGGATAATCCGAATTCCGGATAATCCGAATTCCGGATAATCCGAATTCCGGATAATCCGAATTCCGGATAATCCGAATTCCGGATAATCCGAATTCCGGATAATCCGAATTCCGGATAATCCGAATTCCGGATAATCCGAATTCCGGATAATCCGAATTCCGGATAAACCGAATTCCGGATAATCCGAATTCCGGATAATCCGAATTCCGGATAATCCGAAGTCCGGATAATCCGAAGTCCGGATAATCCGAATTCCGGATAATCCGAATTCCGGATAATCCGAATTCCGGATAATCCGAATTCCGGATAATCCGAATTCCGGATAAACCGAAGTCCGGATAATCCGAAGTCCGGATAATCCGAAGTCCGGATAATCCGAATTCCGGATAATCCAAAGTCTATATATTTTTTTTTATTGTTCGAACAGCATCAGAACTCCTATATGTTCTATAACCTGTGCATTTTCATATTAACCAGTTCTATAACCAGTGCATTTTCATATTAACATTTCAAAAAAGTTGATATTTTGAGTCTCTAGTAACACTTGCTGCCCGTTTACTAACTTTTTTGTATATAAATAAAACTACAAACAAAACTACTTACTACAAATTTATCATAATTAAATAATATTTGCGTAAAACATCCTATTAAACGTAATTGAACATCATCTGTCAAAAGCGTTTGACATTTCACGAAATTGCCACCGGCAATTGTTTTATTTAAATTACGCTTCAACAAAAATTTTCAAATTAAAAATGTAAAGTTTCTACGCGGATTTGAAATAATTTCTCACCTTTTGGACTTTCTCTCGATTGGCACGAATTTTTTAAGACTAAGACTGGCCAAATCGATTCAGCCGTTTTCGAGTTTTATTCGGACATTTGAAAGAGAGCTCCATTTTTATATATAAGAATATATATATATATATACATATATATATATATATATATATATATACTAGCTGACCCGGCAAACTCGAAACTGGCAGGTGGCAAAAAGATTTAAAGCCTTATTATAGTTTTAAAGGTATTTTACAAAATAATTACATTTTTAACTAATGCTTAAAAACTACCAACGGAAGAAAATACTTTTATTATGTATTCTCAAAGATTACCGTTTATCTCCCCCATTTCAAAGATTACCGTTTTCAAATCAAGCTTGTAGCTGGCTATAAATCTTTTTTCCTCTACTTTCAAATATTGTTGTTAAACAATGCTAAACTTTACTGATTTTTGACAAATCGGTGGTTGGCCTTTTTAACCCCGGACCTTCATATATTACTATCTATTCTGCGATAAATTCTGGGAAATTATAACTGGAAAAGATTACCGTTTTCAAATCAAGCTTGTAGCTGGCTATAAATCTTTTTTCCTCTACTTTCAAATATTGTTGTTAAATAATGCTTAACTTTACTGATTTTTGACAAATCTGTGGTTGGCCTTTTTAACTCCGGGCCTTCATATATTACTATCTATTCTGCGATAAATTCTGGGAAATTATAACTGGAAAAGATTACCGTTTTCAAATCAAGCTTGTAGCTGGCTATAAATCTTTTTTCCTCTACTTTCAAATATTGTTGTTAAACAATGCTTAACTTTACTGATTTTTGACAAATCGGTGGTTGGCCTTTTTAACCCCGGACCTTCATATATTACTATCTATTCTGCGATAAATTCTGGAAAATTATAACTGGAAAAATGTTATTCGACAAAAGGTTCATTTGGTCAATACCAAATTTAGGTTCTGAATTTAAATAACATAAATAAAAAATAATATAACAACCTAGAAAATGTTTTATAAATACCAATGAGCATATAATTATACAAATAAGATCTTTCAGAGCACCGTGTTTGAGAAAAATATGCCAAAAATGCATTTTCATATTAACATATCAAAAAAGTTTATATTTTGAGTCTCTAGTAACACTTGCGGCCCGTTTACTAACGTTTTTATTAGTGATGTGCCAAGTCGAATCAAGTGATTCGAATCATTCGAATCAAGCCTTTAACGACTTGATTCGAATCAGATTTTACTTGATTCGAATCAACTCGTATCAAGCCGCGAAATATTTACTGTGATAAAATATGTATTAACACGAATTTTTCATAAATATAAAATTTTTCATAAATATAAATATAAAAAAAATGTTTTAATTTAATTCAATATTATAATAATATAAAAAATAAATATCATAAATATAAAAAATAAATAATGAATTAAATCATGCGAGCCACCCGACTTTAATATGCTTAAATGTATCGGCAGACTCCAATCGTCTTTATATGACTTTAACCGCATTCATCGACTAGCTATATCATTCGACTTCATACGGCTCAAACCGAATCAAGCGGCGATATGAGTTATTCCGACTTCATGAGTCAAACCGAATCAAGCGGCGATATGAGTTGTTCCGACTTCATATGAGCCAACTCGAATCAAGCGGCGATATGAGTTGTTTCGACTTCATGACACAAACCGAATCAAGCAGCGATATGAGTTGTTCCGACTTATGAGCCAAACCGAATCAAGCGGCGTTATGAGTTATTCCGAATTCTGATTCGAATCATCCCGACTTCAAGCCGTTCGAGCGATATGAGTTCAAGCGATATGAGTTAACCGTATGGGCGATACAATGCGTCGTCGTTCTTGCGTGTTTATTTATTTTACGAAGAGCTGAGAGCGATTTTGTTCGTGAAATATCAATACCCAATTTTGATAATAATTAAGTGTTTTAGATCTTAAATGTTATCAGAATAAACCACTCGAAATTATGAAACGAGTTTCGGGAATCTTTCAATATAATTCTCTTTTGAAACAATTACTAAACACCAGAAAGTCAGTAAATAATATGTTAACTTCTAATTATGTAAGTAATGGCAAATTCACATTAATTAAATTAACTTTCAGCTCTCAGTTTATATGCGATCCTTTACTGATTACATAGTAAAATAAACAATCGACCCATGATTCCAAATATTATTTTATATACTTTAGTGATGCACAATTGTTTGGTAATCTATTATGGTAAATTAATTTGAAGATATGTTTCAGCCGTCTTCAAAATTATATCATTTTTAATAATTTTCAAAATATACTTTTTGATAGTAATTTATGATTACAATTTCTACTTTGTCGGTTATATTGGTTGAACTGACAATTTTGATTATAAATTTGGATCACTTTTACTAAATTAATACATCCATGATTTTTTTTTGTCCATATATATACTTGATTCGAGTTGATTCGAATCATGATTCGAATCAGGTTTTTTTCTGATTCGAATCATTCGAATCGGGAATTTTTCGAGTCGGCACATCACTAGTTTTTATATATAAATAAAACTACAAACAAAGCTACTTACTACAATTTAACTATAATTAAATAATATTCACGTAAAATATCCTATTGAACGTAATTGAACATCGTCTGTCAAAAATGTTTGACATTTCACGGATTAGCAACCTTCCATTGTTTTATTTAGATTACGCTTCTACAAAAATTTTCAAATTAAAAATAAAAAGTTTCTACGCGGATTTGAAATAATTTCTCACCTTTTGGACTTTCTCTGGATTGGCACGAATTTTTCAAGACTAAGACTGGCCAAATCGATTCAGCCGTTTTCGGGTTTTATTCGGACATTTGAAAGAGAGCTCCATTTTTATATATAAGATATATATATATTCGATATATATATATATATATATATATATATATATTTGACAATTATCAGCATTTTTATATCATAATTTTGATCTAATATATAATTAATAGGTTTTGCTTTTTATTTAATCTCATTTTGAAAATTTTATGAAAATTATAAATAAATAGGTATCTGATCGATTCCCAGTTTAACTCTTATATTTATATACTTTTATATTTATATATTTATTTGATATTAAACAAAAAAATATAAAAATACAATATATAGAAAATTCTAAACAGTATTATAACTATGACATAATATGTTTGAAAATAAATATGCATTATAGCATAAAAATATTAAAAATGATAAAAATATATTGTGTTAGCTGAAATATGGTTTTACCTGCACCATTTTAGAACCATTGTGAGACCTTTACCTGCACCTTTTTAGAACCACTCATATATACTTCTTTTACCCATGTTCAAAACCTTTTAACTTGTTCTGGACAGCAGGATGGCAACCTTAGACAAATATTGACAGCTGTCATTGCACTCTCTATATTTACGCTAGATGGCAGAAGAATCGTTTCCAATGACGTTTCTGTTTATAGGTTATATTATATATTTGTGCAATGATCTTCGAACAAATAATTCTTTCAAAACACAGCTGTTTAGAAAAATATTATTATGACGTTTGCAAATAATATAAAAATAAAATAGTCCTTTTTGGTCTTCTTCAATAAAATGATGATTTATGAAATCATAATATTAGTGTCTATATTAATTTTAATATTTGCTGGCTTCAGATGGCAAGTGAAAATACTTTGATCAACCATATAAATTCCAAATTTTATTGTGTTGTTTTAATTATTTTAGGGCATTGCCTTTATGTTTTGCTTTTCATTTTAAAAGAAAATACCACACAACAGTTCGAATTGGTCGATTATGTCTACCATGTTCACTACGAGATGTTGTTATATATAAGAATGGTTTCAGTGTGGTGAGTTAAAAATCAATTTTAACACTTTAGTGATAGAATATTTTATTTTAATATGCTTATATTTTCATGATTCTTTTGCACTGCATAAATATGATATTGTAAGCTGAATGTGACATTAACTATTGCAACGGTTTGCAGAACATTGAAGAAGTCAGTGTTCGGAGTAGTCTATTCAATTCTGATGTAACAAAATTAGTTTCAATTGAAATTCGGGATGTACGTATTAAAAAAGATATTGGTGAAGCCAGACGACCACATTCTTCAGGACCAAAATCTAGTTTAATTAAAAGAATTTCCAGATCCAACAGCTGGCACAATGAAACATCTAATAGCAGAAATCATGATGAATTTCCAAGTCTTTCTCAAAATAAAGTATTGGATTTTAGGGAAATTGAAGTACCGAGAATTATTAACACATTTGCACAGGTAATACTATTGTTTTTCGACTTATAGAATATTGTATTTATATTATATTGATGTTTTAGTTTATGGCTGTCCATGTTTATAATATATCTGTAGTTCTATTGCGATCTAAAACCCCAGGATGGTTACTTCATGCTACTGCACGTGATATTCATCTTGATGGCAGTATTGTCAATAGTGCCAAATCACTTTTGGTTAATGTTACACTTGGGGAAGCAGAGGTAATAATTTAACATTTAATATGCTACAGAAATCATATAGGAAATTTATAACTTTTTTAGGCTAAAATGCTACACCATACCCCAAAAGGTTTATTAGATAGTGAGCCTTGTTTAGTTGAATTATCCTTTGCAATTAGTTTGGAGGCAATGTTGATTGCACAAGGTCCTATTTCTGTAGAGGTAAAAGATTTATTAACAAAATTTTATTGTGATAATAAAACTACTGTTACTAGTGATTTTATAATAAAAAAAATTAAATTCCAGAAATTAAATATAACAATGAAGCACACAAAATTTACTGTGCATGAAGGATTGTATAGCTTTTTAACAGAAAGCAAAAATGTAAATAAATACCAGAATGAAAATCAATTTGAATCAATAGCATTAAATAAGGAAAGTGCTGATGATATTTTGTTAAGAATAACACCGATAATACCAAAGGTATTTGCTAAATTAATTCTTTATACTGTATAGAAACTTATTAATTAATTGGTTTTAGAAATTTGATCTTCAAATTGATGATACAACTCTAACTGGAATGAGAGATAATTCTAGGAAAGAGTTTAGTGCCCTATTGCAATGTTTGAAGGTAAAGAATAAATTGTATATTAAACTTGAGGTTTATAATTGTAACAAAAACAAATTATTTTAGTTAAATACTTGGTTCACACCTAGTTTAATACCAGATTTTACTCCTCCTTCTGTATCGTTAGCCCAAATGTATTGTGGAATAGAAGAATTTGAAATTCATTCTCTTCAGGAAAGGTTGGTTTTGTTGAGGAAATTTTCTATAGACGCAAAGGTAAACATCATAACATAGCATAAACATATTCAGATATTTATATCTTAAAGATTTCAAATATTTCTAATAATTGTTTCAGTTGGAAGACAACAACATGGTCAATTTGTCAGTGAAACTTCATACCTTACATTTATTCTACAATCACAGATATATACATACATGGATTAGCACAAATTTCCTTCATAACAAAGCATCGGATTTGATCAACGTTGCTTTATCCAAAGAGTACTACAATAATTTACGAAGGGCTAATAGTTATAACAAAACCAGTGAACATGCCAATGAAAACGAACCTAGATTTTGTAAAATGGCTTCTAATGTAGTAGTTGATGAAAAGAAAAATCGATGGCTAGAAACTATATTCAGCAAATTTATTATAAATGGAAGTATTGTAGAATTGTGGAATGTATGTGCAATGATTAAAATGTATGATCAGAGTATGTCACTAGGATTTTCACATTCAAAATTAATTTTGGATCAATTACCAGAAACTCGGGGTATTGCTATAGTTTGTTTTATTATATATAATTGAAAATATTACATTAAACTACTTTTATTTAGATATCAAACTATCAAATAAAATACTGCACATGTTACTTGGAAAACGACACTGGTCAACAGAACTTTTACTGGAGTCATTATGGTTAAAAGTTTCTACTAATTCAAATGATTTATTGCAAATGAAGAAATATCACATATGGGGTAAGAATATAATTTTTATTTACTTTATTAATTATAAGAATAAACCCTACCTTATTATTCATCAACAGAACTAACTGAATGAATCTAATACATTTATATTTACAGACTGAAACTTTTTATATGTATGTTACTTTTCTATGTTGATAGAATTTATATTTCAGTGGAAGCCACTTTTTTACTATCACTTTATTATGAATTTTAGCCATGAGACTTAAATTAGAGTCTACAATTATATTTGTACTTATGAATAAATAAATAAAAACGTATTGAAATATTTAAAAATTTTTAGGCACTTCCGTTTATTTGGGAATGGCTTTAGTGAAACTTTGCAGTCATGGAAAGTCTGGTTGTAAAATGGAAGCAATGTTAGATACAATCAGAACAGAATGGAGCCCACAATTATCTTTAACACTCATCCAAGCCTCCAGGTATAGCATTTAGAAGATTTCACATTCGGTATATCATCATCTGATAAAAATAAGAGCTTCCATATTGTTCTAGATGTGTTCAAGAATATAGTAAAAAATCTACATCAACAACTATGAAAGAATTAAAAGCACCCAAAAGCTCTTTATCTTTAACCCAAAACATGATGTTGAATATTTCTTTTACAAATTTAAACACATTCTTCATAACAGAAAATAATTGTAAGTACATTTATAATTATTTTTATACTAAACTTGAACTTGCTCATAAAATATTTAATTTACTTTTAGTATGTTCAATGATGCGGTTAGAGTCGATGATGGTTGATAACTGCTTTAATAAATGTACTTTGAATATACATGGGTTGAAATTCTGTACAGTAATGGAAATCCGTAAACATTTTCTGTGCCCTAGAGCTGATGAAATAGATGTAAAAAAAACTTACAAATTTATATATTTTTTATTTGTCAAGGTTTATTTAAATATTACTTCTATACATTATTCTTTAGGATTTTTTTGGTTATATCAAAACAGCCCGTATAGACCTAAAGCGTACTTCCAAATTATCTGAATTGACTATACAATTATTAGAAGAAGTGCATATGAACTGGAGTGCAAACTTACATTTACATTTCATAGAGTTGCACAAAGATATCAAACAATTTCAAACTGGTATTAAAACTAGACGATCGCAAATAGACGAAGGAGAAATCTTAGAAAATACTGAAAATGAACAAAAACAACCGAGCAAACCTAAAACCAAATGGTCTATTAATGTTAACTTAAAGGGTGATATTAGCTTGGAAATTTTTATTTCTGAACAACATCTTATGAATATTTGTGCAGGTAAATTTTTTATTTACTGTAATAGCTTCTAGAACAATTAATTATGGTATGTAATTTGTTCAGATGAAATTAATATTACAACGTCCGAGGATTTATCTATATCTGTTAGTTGTATTGTGATATACATTGATGGAGCTGATATTTTTACCATACAAGGTTTCCAAATGGCTCGATTGGCGACCAATGAAAAAGTTGTTCAGGAACGGAATGTTAATGAAGATTTTGTGCTAGCAAAAAATAAAATTTGGTACGTTTTTCTAATAATAATATTTGTTCATTTATAATAAAGCCTTATGGTTAACATATTTTTTTATTTAGGGGCGTCACTATACAATGTTTAAGAGCAGTTTTTCCTTACGAGCATCAGTATGCAGATGCGATCCACAATGAATTTATTTCTTTATTTAAATGGTTAAAAATAATTCATGGACGGCAAAAGAAACCTTTTACAATAGACTCACCGCTTCCTAGCGATTTAGTAATTACGGTAATGATAAAGAATATTTTATTCCAATTATCAATTTTATAATCAATTGATTTATTGTAGGTCAAAGAATTTTTATTTGAAATGAGTGATGATCCATTCGAAGTTAAATTGAGGGATAATTATGAACTTTTAGAAGACGAATATAAAGAAAGTTTGAAAAGGCAAAAAATGTTAGATGCTAAAGTAAGTTTATATATACTTATATTATAATTATCATGTACAGCAACTATTAGCATATTATCATTATGAAGGTTGCTGAATTGTGTAAAACGCATCCTCTGCTGGCAGCTGGAAAAGTTGAAGAATTATATACAAATTTATGTAAAAAGAATGCAGAAATTTATGTGCAAAGATCGCGACTTTGTAGCTCTGGACCGACGCGAACAAGACTTTTTGCTTGGTAATTTACACATATTTTTATTTATAATTATAAAATATTATATTTTGTTATTTATATTTATTTATAGGTGTTTAAATGAGCTTGAGATTATAGCTTTGGCTGATCCTTCAATACACGGCACCGAAAATTGTACAAAAGTGATGAGAAGCATCGATCCTGATAGGTTGGTTTCTGCATAAAATGGTTGCACTTTTTATTCAAATTTAATACTTTGATGTTTATTATTTTTTAGTCCATGGCCTGAAGAAGGTATTGTATTTACAACGCTCTGGTGCAGATCTGTAGTAGTCAGTTGCGTGGAATGGAAATTTTTATTACGAGATTATCCACAGCCAATGTTGGACATCAGGAACCTCACTTTATTTGGACTTTTAGTTGGTGCAGAACAAGAAGCGCCAAGAAGAGGTAGACAATATAATTTGTAGGTACAAAGTGTACTAAAATTAATAAAATTGTATTTTTTAGCTAAACGAGATGTGGTTATTGATTTGGGTGAACCATGGGGTCAACAAACGATTGAGCGAGGTATGACGACGTTAAAGTTCTATCATGATTTCAATTGTGAAGTCGATCGGTGGAGTTACGCTTTTGGACCTTGTTGGGAACCTGTTATGGCCCAATGTAATCTCAGTAAGTACGACTTTTTATAATATTTTGAATAAATCTTTTCAACTTCTCACTAACACCTAGTTTGTATTTCATTTTTAATAGGTTTCGAAAAAATATCATCACCATCCAGGGATCCGTCGCCAACTTTACCGTTTTGGGATAAAATGAGATTATTATTCCATGGCAGACTAACAATGTGGGTCAAACAATTAACTGTGCTCCTGCATGCGTCCTTAGACCCTTACAATACAACTGAAGAAATGGAATTATCTTGGTCGGATGTAGCAATGGATTGGACAAATGGTTTGTGCTTAAAGCTTTAAAGATGTTGATTTTGAAATTTAAATTGCTGCTAATTATTTCTTTATTTCAGCCAAAATTGTGTTCAAAGGAAATTTCAATGTATACGTAAGAACAGCATCAAAGTATGACGACTGTCAATTATTAAAAATACCACATTTAAAATTAACTATCAAATTACAATGGATTTGTTTAGCAAATCCTAATGATCATCATTCGGTGATACCTTGCGCCCCGGATAAAGTACCGGAATATTCCATCAACCAGGTAATTTTAGATTAAATTTATTTCTATATTTCTTTTCTTTAGCGTTAATTTTTTATTACAGGAACATGATTCATTCAGGGCTTTTCGTTCACAAAATGTGAATATTAATATATCATTTGAAACCAAAGACGTTATGCCGAAAACCGAAGGAGATTATCCGATTCTAGTTCTTTTCGGAAGCACATTGCGGTAATTGAAAAACAATATAGTAACTACTCGTCAAAACATAATTAATAAAAATACTTTTATGAATTTTATATAGATGGTTTGAAAGCCTTAAGCTTATATTATCTGGAGTAACACGACCGACCAGGCGAGGAACAGTCTTCAAAAACGTACGACCTCGAAGAGCGCAACTGAGCAGACATTATAAGACTGCTCATCTAATTTTTAGTTTACACAAATTTCAGGTACTTATAAAATTATGACCAGTATCTATTATCCAATGTTTATTCTTTCTATAGATTTAATAATAAACAATTGGTTTGATAGGTTTGTTATTGGATGTCATTTGCAAAACAGCGCGGATTTCAATTAGATGGTCAGAAGATATCTTCAAGTTCTGGTGAGATAATTCATAATATTTTTATTTATATTTATGTACAATATTATATGGCTTCTGAACTTGATTTTTAAGTTATTATTATTTGTAGAACATAATTTATCTTTGCACCCAATAAACGATGGTTTACGCCACCGTCCAAGAGCTGAATGGTCAATAATGTACATGACTTCGCAGCTGGACAAAACAGATATTTGGTTGAAAAGTGCTCTGCAGGAGGATATTAATGATATTAGAGAAGTACTGTCTTAAATGCAATATGAGTATTGATGTATAATTCAAAATAACCAATATTTTACCTTTTATTCTTAGTCTATGGACAATCTACCAGTAGAAAAATGTTTTTGTTTGAGCGTGGATTCAGTGTCCTATGGGAGAGCACCAGTAAGAGGTTGGCATGAAGGCAATCAGGCCAATCGTGATATAAATACTCCTACACATCAGTTAGTTGTTCGAGATTTGAAAGGAGCTTGGACAAAAAGCAATAGAGACGTTGCTTTTGCGTTATTTGATACGTTTATGAAAAATAAGGTAAATATTGAATATTGTGATCCTTATTTCTCGTTTAACATTAAATTTTTAATATCTTTAGCAATTGAAAAAAAATCTTTCGACTGAAGCTTTGAAAGGTTTTAGAAATGATAATAATTCAACTACACCATTAAAATCTAGAAGACCCAATGATGTTGCATCTACTCCTGTACCGCCAACACCAGCATTACAGGTATAATTGACTTTCATTTAATATAGCATACTATTTTTATTTTAATAATATTTTAAATGTTCAATTTTGATTAGGTAACACAAAGTGCCTCAACTGCAACCCCATCCCCGCTAAGTAAAGTTCAATCTGGACATGCAGCTGCCATGTTACAACAATTAATAGCAGAAGCTGAAAATAAAGCATTAGTTTTTAGTGATGATTTATCAGCGCAAATCAGCAAGGATCAGCAACTGCAAGGTCTTCAGGCATGTCAGAATGATGATGTTGTTCACAATAATTGGCTTAGTAAGCATTTACATTATCCATCAGCACTAATAGTAATATATATTTTTTTATTTAATATTTTACATTATTATAGTTGCTTTGGTAAATTCTCAAGTTTTGCTCAAAGGCTGTGAAACTCAAGGCTACATAATACTGAGCGCTGCCAAAGCGGAAATACTGCAACGGGTTCATCAACCAGTTTGGAGGGATAGAAGTTTGGTTCCCAAAACTACTTGGGTTGGTTCTCTTGAATGCATGCAGTACTATGCTACAGTCAGCGCAGGAGAAAGTGATTCCCTTTATGGTAAAACAATAATAAATAATAATAATAATAAATTAATTGGGGAAGCTGTATTTACTTAATTTTTGTAGAAAAAATAATGTGGTTGGAGAAGGAGAATATTGAAGAAAAAGAACCGAAAGATTCGAGGGAAATACCAGATGTTCCAGATTTGGTCGGAAGTGGTCAGTCAGTTGGAGGCGTGGTTAGTCAAACTGTTGGAGCAACTGGCGGCGGTTTAGGCGAAACTATACAGGTTTCTTAACTAATATGACTGACATTTATCATTTTCCATATATTAATTATTATTCTTTTGTTACAGCTTCAAAGAATAGTATCACGGTGCCGTTGCGAGTTCTTTTACGTCGGTTATGGTGATACCAGCATTGACCCTGCTAGTTTGCAGCAAGTACCGCCAGTTCCCCAAGAAGAAGGTGGTCCTTGGGAGAAAAAAGAACAAGCTGTTGATGCATTTACGCTCATGCATCATGATCTAGATGTTTGCACTAATTCACTGCAGGTAAATAATATTTATTTACCGAGTTTAAATTGAAAAACAAAGTCTTCTAATTAATTTTGGATTTTAGTACGCTATGATTTTGGACGTTGTGAATAATTTGCTTTTATATGTGGAACCTCAACGAAAACAGGCCTTAGAAAGATTGGCCAGGATGAGATTCCAATTGCAACTTCATCGAGTAGAGGATCAAAGACGTCCTATTCAACACTTACAGAATCAAGTAAAATTCATTGATATCTATCTATATTTTATAATTTAGTATTTATATTTTACCTTTTACTAGGTCCGTAGTTTAGTATCAAAACTGAGACGATTAGAAAAAGATACGTACTTGGTACATAGGGCGCTGCAAGAAGTTCCTAACGACGAAGAACTCATTGAAGAAATTAAAAATTTGGAAATGCAGGTTAACAAATAATTAAAATTTTAAAGTTATAAACGCTTATACAACCAAAATATATTATTAATTATAAGATTATATTATTTGTCTTAGGTTTATGAATGTAAGGAGCAATTAACTGCGCAAAGCGAGGAACTTGATATGATGTTGTCTTGTTACAAAGAATCCCAAATTTCTGCCACTAATAAAATGGCAACAATGAAAACAGATAAACCTGTTACTACAGTTCGAGCTAATGAAATTTGTTTTAAACACGCGCAATGGCGCTTAACGGACGCCGATGGACAACTTGGTATTGCTGATCTCGTACTGAGTAACTTTCTGTGAGTAAATTTATTTATCATATAAATAACTTTAGAATAATGCCGTGTCTTTAAAATGTTTATAGTTATACGAAGAATTCTAAAAGCAATGACTCCGTAGAACATCTCCTAGAATTGGGATATGTTCGAATGACGAATTTGCTACCAAATGAAATTTATAGAGAAGTCTTGTGTCCTACTGAAATTCAAAGTCATATGCCAGTTGATAGAAAAAGAGTTCTAAGAGTCTTCTGTCGGGAACGGCCACCAGTTGGAGGCATTTCAGTGAAAGAACATTTTGAGATAAACGTTGTTCCCATAACAATAGGTAAAATAATTACTTAGATTAATTTAATTAATCAATAAGTCAAAATAGTATATCTTTTCCCTTTACAGGCTTAACAAAGAAATTTTACAATACTATGCTGAAATTCTGTTTTCCTGAACGTGATCCTGATCAAATAGATGGCGAAGCATCTGAAGAAATGTATGAAACACAAAGTTTGGGAGGTGGTGGGTTCTCCGGACGTTCCAGTTCTGCTTCCACATCAAGTGCGCCATTATCGAAGAAAAATCGATCTAAAAAGGGCGGTAAAGATACTAATTTCTATATAAAAATTGATCAAAAGGATGACGTCGAAAAAATGAAGGTATTTTTTAACAATTGGTATGAAACAATAGAATGTTTTATTAATTACTATGAAATTTTTACATTCAGGAAAGAGCTGAGAAGAATAAGTTATTTATATATATTAAAATACCAGAAGTGCCAGTACGTGTGAGCTACAAGGGAAACAAAGAGAAGAATATTGAAGACATTAAAAATTTCTCCCTAGTTATTCCTACTATCGAATATCATAATGTAACATGGACATGGTTAGATTTGTTGCTTGCAATGAAATCAGATAGTCGAAGAGTTATACTATCACAAGTATGGTTGAATCATTTTTTTTCTTACTTTTTTTAATTATAATACTTATTTAAATATTGTTTTAGGCTATAAAACAAAAGCTTCAAATTCATCGGAGTAAAATAACTGATGAAGGAGCATCTCCACAAGAGGAAGATAAAGCTAAGATGTTATTTGGTTCAAGACGTGTGGTTAGTATAATTAAATAGAATATTTTAGATTGTATTTTGATAATCAAGCAACTCATAATTATTAATTTATATTTCAGTTATCTGCAGATATAAAGCATTCTAAGAAAGGAGTTTTCAAGTCATCTAAATAACGGTAGTATTCCTATATATTCATTTTAAATTATTATAAGATTGAAATTTTAATTTTAATATAAATGATTATAATGATTTAAATGAGCATAACAGTATTTTTATAAATTATAAATTATTATTCTTGTTATATAAGTTTAAAAAAAATCTATAAAATATTTGAATTAAAGGTATTGTTATTTGCTTATTTTGTGCAGAGAAGAGAGTATTTTGTATTTAGTAAAAACTAAATATTTATTTAAACCTTTTAATGGGTGTAAATAAAATGTGAGTATAAGTAAATGAATGAATGGATTATTATTTTCAATAACTAAATATATTATTTATTACAGTACAATTATTCAATCAAGATTTTATCGAACACTTTCTGGATCATATTTCTTTTCAGGAGTAAAGCCTTGGTATTTATTTTTATATTTAAGTCCAGTAACCAAAGTCGAACTTTCTGGGAAAGCTGTTTGGCCTCCAAATAATTTATCAGTATCTAAAATTAATAAAGAAGGTTTACTATGTTTGTGCACAGATCTTTCCTGTTAAGATCACATTTATTATTTATGTTCAACTCACCAGGATGGAATCTATGGTATTCATACGTAATATGTAAGTTTGGAGGTAGGTCCATATTTTTCATTGCATCTAAAGGTGTGACATTGCTAACAGGGGTTGCATAGAAATTCTTTACGTCCTCTACAATTTCATTCCAAATTTTAATATTGTAAAAGCTCTAAGTATTGTATTATATAGTCTTACCAATAGTCTCAATTTCGTGAAGTAGAGAATTAGGAACACTGTGATTGAAAGCAGAACTACATTTTGATAAAAGTTCATATTTTTGGGAACCTTTTAATACAGTTTTATCATCTTGAGATATATTCAAAGATTTGCATAAATTTGTTACTTTGGAATCACTGTCTTGTGGGGGGTCGTATGATTTCTGTGACCGCAAGAATCTGCAAGGATATTATGCTTTTAGTAAATAAATAACTCCTACATATGACATATAAATTACTCTTATGTTTGATTTAATGTTTTAGAATGTTTTCAAAGCTCCATTTAATTGTTGTATAAAATATTTGTACAATTTGAAGAAAAAATGAAATTTAAACAAGATACAGCAAGATTGTAGGATTCAATGAGAAAACTATTGGTATATGAAGGAATACCATGTAATTGTTATTGCATGTAACAACATCATGGGTTTTTAATGAAGTTTTACAGGTAAATGAAAATATTTTACAAGTAATCAATCAAACAAGTAATGCCGTCTACCGCGGATCGTGCGCAACCAACTGTCACATTCTCAGCTGATCATTTTGCTTGAATCGCTCGATGTGAAAGTGTGACTGTTAGTCCGTTATTGTTCTTAATGCAATACGTACCCTTTTGATGCGATCGACTCATTATTTTGACTAAAAAGTGGTCCTGGCGTAATATAATTGGATTTTTTGGCGTAAAACCGAGCACCGCTCTGAAAAATAAAATGCCGTACTTAACCAAAAGTGGACAGGATACATATCAATCAAATCTTTAAAAAGGACATATGTGTTATCTGTTAGTGTACATTTAATATTATGTTAATATATTTACATGGTACTTGGTGAAATCTTGAGTAATTTTACAGAAAACTCTTCGTGTTAGCGCCGCCATGTTTGTAATTTCTAGATAAAATGTGTGTTTGATTGAAATTGATGTATCTGACTTCTTGCTATCCTCTTCCGTCAGACGTTTTCTCTGTCGCACCAGGCCGGAACGTGTGTCGATTATCATCTGTCAACGTTGCCTGCCTAGTGCAGAGTTCTTGCCGGGCGAGCGCGCTGCGATCGCTCTGCTTGTTGTGCGCCGTCCGCCATTTTCCAGTCGCTGTTGAAAGGTGAAAAGCTAACTAAATGTTCGTGCAAATTTTCGATTTTTAAGTGGTTATTATAGTTGGTTATTAGTGTAAAGTGTTGTGGAATGAAAATGAAGTGTATAAAACAACTATGACGCATCAAAGCCATCAAACTAACGGCGCAAGCTTGGAGGATTGCCACACAAACTTTTTTGCCTTGGTGAGTTCATTTCCTAACCATACAAATCGAAAAATAGGCAAATGATTTATGAATATAGAGATAATAATGGATTTCTGTACTGAACAACAGCGTTTATAGTACTGGTTCATTATTATTTTTTGAATAACAAATAGAATTACGTCGCGTCTATATTGTTATGGTATTTGAAGTTTCGTACATACGAGACGAGAGTCGCCAATAACCGAACTTATGCGAATGTACTGTTCGGCTCGTTAACATAAAACTACTAGATAAAAAAGATATGCTACCTCTTTGTAATTGAGTAATTGTAAAATATCCTTCGCATATATTTTTTTAAGTGTTATCAAACCTGTTCTTGTTCGTCTCGGGGCTAAAAGGCAGCCCCCGCTTTGACACTTGCCCCGGTAGGTCGGTCGGTGCGCGTCACATCTGGGCCGTATGTACGTACGTCGTGTGCGTGTTGTGACGTTTAGGCAGAGTTTCGCTGTCAGCTCGTTCCTTGTTGTATGTTGAGTGTTATACGTGTGTTCTGTTTAGTTTTCTGTATTCACGACTTAGAATTTTTAATCAAGGCGCTAGTAATTGAAAAACTAACCTTCAAATGGTAACGGAATCTATTCAAGTGTTATTTCCTTAAAAGTAGTAATGGACATAGCGCAACTGTGAATGTACTTGTTATTTCGAATCCGTGATTTTATTGCACGAAACAGCTACCTGATTAACCACTCGAGGTTAGTTTTCAAACCCTACAGTGGCCTTTTCTTTGTCAAATTTATAAAACTTGTATATTGATTACTGTTCTTCTACAATATTATTTTTGGATCAAATCTTATAAATTATACCTGTGTGTAATGAAATTTTTGAATGCTATGGATCAATTTGTTTCAATATTTAAATCTTACACTTTAGTCCTGAATCTACAATATAATATATGTATCTTCATCAAATATCGCAATATCAATAAGCCGATATCGTTTTATTCAAGTTTTCAGCTCACATACTATTTTATGTATATAAAGATATACAGCAGCGGTACGGCCATGGGAACACGGCTTTGCAGTCGACAGTATCCGTGAAAATGTAGAACTCTTCTTTCTTGAATGTTTGAGTGTGTCCGAGGCGCGCGGGAGAAATCAACTCCGGGCATCGGCACATTCCGCACTGTGCGCTATTATACAATGAATAGCTTACCTTCGTCTGCACTTACAAACAGTAATCCACAAAATTAAAAAAATCGTTAAATTTGAGCAAAAGGTAGTAGGTAGTAGAACTATTGATCACATTTCTGCGTCTATGCTACTAAATTTAGTAGCAGCTTCAATTGCACGTTTGAAATATTCTTAGTCACACATTTGTAGGCCGATTCTACGGTAAAATAGACGAAATTTACGGCAGAATCGGCCCCATAGTTAGTTTGGTAGTATAAGTTGAACTCTTCATGAATTCTCATTTAAAATCTGATTTTAACTAGGTCCATGTAAAATAACTATATTAGAGATCTTAAGTCTTGACCAAAGAATTTTTTTGCCATTGTGCGCTATTATACAATGAATAGCTTACCTTCGTCTGCACTTACAAAATTAGATAGATTTCAGTAAAAGGTAGTAGGTGGTAGAAATGTTCATCACATTTATGCTACTAAATTTAGTAGCAGCCTCAATTGCACATTTGACAGATTCTTGGTCACATGTATGGGCCGATTCTGCCGTAAAATGTATGAAAACTGGAACGTAGCATTGCCTTGCCATAACATTGGTCTATTTTACCGCAGAATCAGCCTCATAGTCACTTTGGTAGTGTCAGCCGAACTCTTCATGAATTCTCATTTAAAATCTCATTTTAACTAGGCCCATGTAAAATTACTACATTAAAGATCTTAAGTCTTGTCCAAAGATTTTTATACCATTATTGCCTTTTCTTACGTTCGTAGTAATACGGTTATTGCACTTGAGAATTGCAACGATTAGATTGTTAGTGTATATACCACAGTATCTTTTATCTCCTTACATTTCCCAATACAAGATTATTTATTAATATACATTGATACGTTTTCAATTACAAAATGTTTGGAATAATAAATTTACTCACCTTCACATGAATTTATTATAACTAGCACTTCAACAGCAAAACAAGTAGATGCGTTACCACTTTCTATTTATGTTGCGCACGTTATAGTGTAATAATTAAAAATAAAATACGCATGTGAGGTTTTCGTGCTTGTTCACTTTGGAAGCAAGAAGTAATAATAAACATTTTATGCGAATATAAATTATTAAAAAATTTATGATAATAAACTCTTCAATCTCTATATGTGTTTCAAAATTAAATGAATTATTATCAAATGACATATTTGTACCTCTAAGGTCTGTTACCACATAGCCTTTTGATCAAATTAAGCTTGTAATAATAATTTATTACGGGGCGCTTTTTAGCCAATAAATTTCAGCACCTTTACTGACTTAAGTTCCAATGTTTACCCTGTAGGCGGCACTGGCTTCCAACATGTGAGGCGAAGGGTGATATATTTTTTTGCTGCCTGTGATAAAATGTTCATGTTTTTTATGATAAGTTATGTAATTAATAAGTCATCACAAATATTCATCAAATAAAAAGTTAGTCTTATTATTCTTAAGGTGCGTCCACACCTAACGAACGAGCACGAACGAACATGGATTTTGACATGCGCGAGGGCCGCTTTTGTTTGAAATTTTTAATCTGCGCATATTATTCATCATGTTCGTTCGTGTTCGTTCGCTAGGTGTGGACGCACCTTTAAGCATACGAAAGGCAGGTATTACCTGAACATGTTGTCAACTTGGAGTATGTGTTACGTGTCAACGTGTCACATGTAACACATACTCCAAGCTGACAACATGTTCGTTTGGAATAAGCTTTCTTATGATAAAATATATTATCCATTTTAATTTTACAATTTTTTTTTAAAATTTATCATAACTCGACGTTTTGTCAATTTTTTGTTTCATATTTACTATTATTTTTTTCGTGCAATTCCGTGTGTTTTTGTGTTTTTTTCTCAAATTTATTTGTATGCACTGAAGATGGGTCAAATCAAGACCCGAAACGTATGTTCTCTGAATAAAAACATTTTCTTTCAATAAAACTATATATATATATATATATATATATATATATATATAATATTTTAGTTCATATAATATATATTCGTTTTTGAATTTAATATGGATCCGCCACGGCGAAGTAATCTTATATATTGGTATAGCGAAGTGTATCCGAGTTACCATGACGACAGCGCTCTATACTGGGTCAGTATGACGCGTCGTTTGATCAGAGCGAACGTGTTGCGCCTGTGTGCGTTAGACGCCCCAACTCTTAAAGAGTGCGCTGGTGAATGTTTTACGTGAAATATTTCTTCAGTGTTCCATTTTTTGTAATGAAACGTTCTAATTTCATCATATGCATTGTTTAGATTCTAAATGATGTGTCCTGCTTTGCACCACTTTAATTTCCGAGGAGAAGAGTTTAGTATGACGGATTTCCCACTGTCTACGGCCTAGCGATCTATATTTCCAAATGAATATCAATGATGCTCGATGCCAGGTTGAACTTACGATGTATTGTGCGAAGCTGAAACTGTGTCCACCACCTCAAAGAATACCTTGATCAGAATAAAATATGTTAATTCTGTAAACATATTTGTAGACATATTTTTATGTTTGAATTTAAAATATGTGCAATATGAAACGTAACTGATAATCGAAATTAAATAAAAGTACAATGAAATATATAATCTGATTTTGCTTTTGTGTTTGTCTCTTCTTGTTTGTTAAGTAGATTGAAGTTGCTATATCGTTTCTTACAGTCACATTTTCTTTTAGTTTTATGTGTTCAAAATTACTCGAGTGACTAAAAAATACTTTCGTGTACCTTAACTACCCGTAGGGTGAGTTACAGTAAAAAAATGCATATCTCTTTATGTTTCAAAGGTTTCTGAATATTTTGGCATACCTCAGAAAAAATTGATGTATGTGTATGTGTATGTGTAATGTGTGTATGTAGGTGCGGATACAATTTTTCGTCGACGATTTCGATGATTAATAAAACATTCGGTTTCTATTTATAACGAGACGTGCTGATTAGTTTTTGGCCAAGACGAGTCCAGCCGTTGCTAGGATACAAGGCAAAATGAGCCAAAAATTGTAATTCGGTTTTTGAGAGAATGGTGCAACCGATCAGAATGATTCAAAAATCTTTATAATTTGATTACAAAAATTCACATTTGGTAGTCAAAAATGATCATGGGACATTTACATTACCGTTCTTCGCCTAATTCATATAATACGATGATGAAACTTATAGTAGGTATTTATGACAATCTATTTTTTTATTTATTTTAACTCTGTTTTATTTAGCAATCAGAAATACATAAAGATTCCTATGAACTAATTTGACAATATCGAAGAGCGAACTCCAATGAGATCTTCTTAGTTTAACAATTAATATCATAATATTATATTAGAGCTAATCTAAGACTAAGTCTAAAGGCCAGTGTCGTTTCAATCTCCTTATGCCAAAAGGTTGAGTAATGTCAACTATGGGTTCGAATGTGAGTCCAATTTGCGTTTGTATTTTTCCTCAACTTCTTTGAACGTTAATTGCACCATTTTCATGTTAAGATCCCTGTGAATGGTTTCATTTGTCACGTACCACGGAGAATTAAGTATTGTACGTAGAATTTTTGACTGTGTCCTCTGCATCATAGCTATATTCGATTTGTAAGCACAGACCCAAAGCTCAATTCCGTAGGTCCAGATTGGTTTGATGATTGTTTTATTTATGAGTAAATTTATACTTGTTGCTATCCCTCTATCCGCTTTTGTATGCGAGGATAGGGTTTTTCTCATCGAGCTGCATATTGTACTCTTGCGGGTACTTCCGCACACCACTACGTTCGTTTATCGACAGTATAGAACACAGAATGCACACTGTGTAAACCAAAACTACATATGTAGGTTGGTAAAATGATATTTATCTTGCTA